GGTGAGGACGGCGGAGAAGGGCCGAGGCCGCTGGGTGAGGGCTGGGAGAAAGTTGAAGGTGGCTGAAGGGAGTGGAGTGAAGGCGGACGCGGAGGGGTAGTGGGGGGAGGGGTGCTGGGAAGCTTGGGGGCAGCGTGGGAAACTGGTGGGGGGCGGCGGAGAGTGGGGGGCCACTGAGGTTCGGTCCGGAGCATTTCTTTGGAAATTGGGCCTCTCTGGGCCACGCTGCCGTGGTGTTTCCCAGCCGGGTTGCACTGGAGGTGCGACAGCGTCGCTCAGTGTGGCTGTTAGCGGCAGCCCAGCTCTGGCCTGGCCCCACCCGATGGTGCGGTCCGGCTCCAGCGAGGTCTTCAGGGGTCTGGATAGGCAGCGTGATGCCAGGTTGATTCTTTCGTTCCCCTGTGCTCCAGGGCAAGATCCAGGAACCTTCTTCTGTATTTGCTTTCGAGTTAGTATAGGAGAGGCCAAGACGAGTACGGGTCACTCAGTTTGACAGACTTGCTTGTAGCTGCTAGAGGACTCCAAGACTTGCTTACTCATCGGATTAGTCGTGGTAGGAGAACGAGGGGAAGACCTCGGTTACTTTAATACTACTAGTAAATTGTTTGCAGAAATAATTATAGGACGTGAGCGTTCCGCAGGTTAGTGTATAGCAATTCTGTAACGAAAGCAGTAGCAGAACACTAGTGATGCTTCGTGTTCTCTGAGTATGAGAGGCTTTGAACAAAAGCATTTATTCAAGATTTTGGTCTATTACTTTCAAAGAAGGATGGACTAGGGTATTTGTGTTGCAAGATGAAGTAGCTTCTTAGAATTTTCTAAATCTGATAGGTTTTAATCTAGGTACATCATCTTCAAACATCACTTCATTGTTCAGCTATTGATAAATGATATATATATAAATAAACTAATGAAGAACTAATTGTTACCGCCTCTGCAGTACTTTGGATAAACATTAGTCGGTGCACTTTTTATACAAAGGTGAACAGTAGTTGAGATCTGTACCTGCTCACCCAACAGAGTTAAATAGTTACTATGTGGCATAAGGTCTATTACTTCATTGACAGATGTACCTAAATAAAGTGTAGCTCTTCATTATTATTATTAGAGCTCATTATGGCATGAGCTTAATGTGTACAGAATTTATTGAATTCTGGAATGTGGTTTAAGTAGCTACAGTGTATGGCCGGGAAAGTGCAACTTACATGTTGCTTTTTGATTGAGAAACAGTGGGTGAAGAAACATAAGCAAAAAAAATATTTAAAAGAGTCTTTCTTTTGAAAAGGATTGTAAAAAAATAGTTGGAAATGGCAGGGCTGACGTAGTTGAGAGCAGCAACACTGGGATACTGACAGCATATAAAATAGGTGTTTCCTAAAAAGTAAATTGAATAATTGACAGTATCTAAATATAAGACTTGCTCTCGCTGATGAACCTATGAAGTTTAATGCTGCTTATATTCTTA